GAGTTGTTCATCATTGGTATACAGCAAACTTGCCCCACTTCCCTCCCAACCCTCCCCCACGTGCAGCCAGCAGGCTGGAGGGTTGTGCAAACAGCCTCTGGATCAATTCATTGACCACAAAACAGTGAGACAATGGGACCACCAAGGGGCCTTGCTTTGCCCACTGGGGCGAAGGTCAGCATCAGATGCATTAAGAAATGGAAGCAATTTTCTTCCCACTGGAGGCTTCTATTAGGCATGATTGCCTGCATTTAGACAGACCCTAAACTCTCCAGGGCTGGATTAGGACAGGATCACAAACAAAATCTGGAGAGGAACCTGGCCCTGGAGCTGAAACTAGAGCCAAGGGGGCCACTGAACATTTTTTACTACATTTTTTGGACTCTTTGCCTCTGGTTTTTCCTAGCCCACATCCATCTGTGGCTTCCTCTTAAACACTGCTATGCCCACTGAGCTACCAGCTACATTCTGACTCTATGGTTTTGCTATCCACACCCTCTCTTCCACGCCTGCTGCTGCTTTTGCCCTGATGAGGTCTTCCATCCCCCTTTAATTCATTCTTCGACTTTTATCAGCGTTTCTCACTAAGCTCAGGGCTGTACCCTAGAGAGACAGAGCTGAGTATACGTAGCCCTGATTGCCAGGAGCTTACAATCTAATTAGAGGAGGGAAAAAAAGAGATTTCAACACATTAAAAAGGTATGATCACAAAGGAGCAAAAAGAATTTGTATCAGATGAGTAGTATAGACTGTGTTTTGAGTGTTTCATGGTGGGAGGATGTTCCGGTAAGCTTTGGAGCTCAGGAAAGTTTTCCTGGTAGTGGCTCTCGCATGATGTGAAAGCTTTTGATAGGTTCAGAGAGGGAGCGATGTTAGGGCAAGGCTCCTTTAATACTTTTAAAGAGCTCCTTGAAAATCACCTCCTCCCCACCACCGAAGATGGATTAATCACCTGCTCTCTCTATTCATTACAAATTTCCTCAGTTACCTGTGGACATTGTGCTGTATCTGTTAGTATATTTCTCTCTCTCTAGAATCTCAGTTTCTTATGAGTGGGGATTTTATCTTATTCCTTACTTATGTTGAATCCCTGGCACTTAGGAGGTATTCAGTAAGTATTGGCTGATCTGAACTCGAATGAGCTTTTTTATGAATATAAGGTGGGGTGGGGCAGAGAGCTGATAGTGCATCCATCTATATGCTGTGACATTTATCCAGTTCCATATGAATCCATTTTGGTCTCCATGTACTGACTCCTCGCCATTTCCCATGGAGCCTTGCTTTATGCTTTTATTTGATGAGTGTTTTCTGTTAAAACAAATGCCTTTCATCTATGGCCATGCCACCCTGAACAAGCCCGATCCCATCTGATCTTGGAAGCTAAACAGGGTCGGGCCTGGTTAGTACTTGGTTGGGAGACCACCTAGGAAGACCAGGTGCTGTAGGTATAAAAAATAAAAAATAAGGGATTGTAAACTGACAAGGTCCTTGCAGTCTGTGAGGTCAACCAAGGGTTGCCTTGCCAAAAAAATAAAAGAAAAAATAAAAGAAATAAATGCCTCTCCTCCCTTCCCAGGCAGAGCCTCTGTATGAACTGGTGACAGCCGCAGACTTTGCCTACTCCAGCAGAGTGAAGCAAAACATGAAACAGGCCCTGGAGGAGTTCCAGAAAGAAGTCAGCTCCTGCCACTGTGCCCCCTGCCAAGGGAATGGAGTCCCTGTCCTGAAAGGTACCATATCCAGGCAGCTGATGTCTCTTGTGAAAGCCATCACCTGGAGGAGCTAGTTCTAGGGGCCAGAACACAGTATCAAAACCACATATCCTCCAGAGTGTCTCACGAAGAATCTCTAGGTCAATCTCAAGTCCTCTGCCTCAGGCCCCAGGGAATGTCATGAAGTGCTTTTCATTTTCTCAAGGGGAAAAAAGAGTGCCCTGGTCATGTGGAGCCTCTTCACCCTGGCTGGGCATTAGAACGACGGGCATACCTTGGAAACATTGCAGGTTAATTTCCAGACCACTGCAACAGAGCCGGTGGTAATCTTTTTGCTGGCGGAAGGTCTTGCCTTCATTTGTAAAAAAAATGCAACACCTGCAAAGGGCAATCAAATGAAGCATAGTAAAATGAGGAATTCCTGTATTTGAGACCTTCAGAACTACTGATGCTCAGGCCCCAACCGGGATCATGATGTGAGAATCTCTGGATAAGGGCCTCTCATCGGAATGGTGAAACTCTCTCCAGGTAGTTGTAACCTGCAGCCTGGGTGTAACTTACAATTGCTAAAGTCCCCACCTTTCCTAGACTGGACCGAGGAGGAGAGCCCTTCACTCAGTTCATGGCAAAGTGCTCGGTGTTCCTCTTAAGGCAGCAGATTCTAGTCCCAGCTGCATGTGAGAATCACCCAGGGAGCTTTTCATGAACACAAAGCCTAGGCCTCAGCCTAAAGTAATTAAAGCAAATCACTAAGACTGGCCTTTCAAAAAGCCTACCAGATGATTCTGTTGTAGAATCAGCCCTGAGAAGCTGTTGTACAGTTGAATTCACTGGCAGACAGGATCCAGCATTTCTCTGTTTATAAACTAGTGGGAGAGCTAGACTTGACCAAAGAATTACACTGAAGTATATCAAGTGTTAGTGTCAGTGTTAGTCTGAGTATCTCCAGTGGAGTCAGAATGTAGGCAAGTAGGACATGCTATTATGGCTGTAAGGCTACCTAGTTTCCAGCCAGAACCGACACAGCAAGTGATGGTAGCATTAACCTGAAGACAGGGGCAGGCTGAGGCTGTGTGGTCTGCACCAAAGAGTGGGGGATGGACTCGGAACCTCTTCTGGCCACAGAAGTGGCCCTTTGTGCATATCCTGACTGATATGTGGTGAGAAGATTGGGGAGCTGGGAGTGGTGGCAAGGATGGGCCACTAGAACTTGAGTCTTAACTTTAAGGATCACATCGGGGTCACTGTAGTGAGCAGGGCAAACTTGGGAAAGGTTGGGGCCTGGGATCTTGTGCTCCTGTTGTGATGGGCTGGCAAAACTCAGAGACAGCGTCCAGCCCGCTTTCAGAATAGCATGTCTAGAGTAACTGGTTGTAGCAGATCCCAGCCTAAAGAGCCAGTTGGAGCTGGCATATCAAACCACATGGATGGAGCAAGCTCCACAAAAGAGATACAGAAAAGGCATGTTCTCAGGGAGAAAGATCCCAGCTGCTCAGCTGAGATTGATGAGTGTGTGTCTAACTTGTTGGACAGGATGGATATGAGCAAAGCAGTCATAAGTGAGAGTCTAAGGTTTGGAAGTTCTGCCATCAAGAAAAGGACTTGTAAAGGAGAGACAGTTCAGTAAAAAGATCAACTCATCTGCTCAAAGTTTTGGTCTAGGTTTGCAGAAATCCCCCTTGCCTTGTGTGAAATTTGAACCTAGAAACTGGTACCCACCTGAGGTTCTGTACTGGAGGCAAGGGAGAATATGAAGCCAGGAACTAGGATTACTCACATGGCCTGACTTATGAAGGACAATACTGTGAAGAGATGCTGTGTGATCCAGATGAGAGAAGCTCCAAGGTGACATTATAGATTAGCATAAGGAATATCTTCTAAAGTGTCAACCAGCCAAGGTCAGATGAGACATCTAAAGGTAGTGAGTTCCCCATCAATACAGAGGGGAGCAGAGGCTATAACTGTGGTGAAAATGAGCATCAATGACCATTGGCCTCTCTGACTACTAATGTGGCTTTAGACTCTGAACACATATGGCTAGGTCAAATTTCTGCTAATGAGAAATATTCTTCAACAACTCCATATAATTCCCCATGATGGTAATCAACACTCTTTTATGAGCAAAGGACCCTCGAGAAAGGAGTAGATACTCTTGGCACCAAACCTTGTTTCAAACCATTCATCTAAATGTTTGCCCTCTTTTAACTTAGTGGAAAAGCAGTGATGTGGAGGGCTGAATTCCAGGAGGTGTTTGCTTCACGTGGTATAATTCACTCTCTGTATTGTCTTTTCAGAATCACGCTGTGAATGCATCTGTCCTAATGGATTCCAAGGTCAAGCCTGTGAGATCACCTTACGGGAAAGTAAGGAGCCTTTGAGAGTTGGTGGGAAAAGGGAAATCTTGGGAAGTCCAGAGAATAATTCGAAAGAGCAAGAGCTAGGTGAGGGTGTCAGGTAGAGAGCTGGACACTATGAAATTTGAGACCCATCCTGGCTATGGATTGTGTATTTCATTATTTTCACATGAGAGTGCTTCATGTTACAGGACTACTATGCATAACATTTGCAAGTCTTCTCTTTGGATCATTTTGGAATGCTTATTACCATTTTTTAATTTAGTGAACTGCTATTCAGCCCTCTAAATACAGTGCAGATGTCCCTTGCTCTGTAAAAAGTCTTCTAACTGCCCCCCACCCCAAAGAAAGGAGAGCTAGTTAATTCTTCCTTTGGGTTCCTGTAAGACTTTGAACATATATTTATTATAGCTCTTAGCATATTATATTTTGGGTTCTGTGTGTCTGTTTCTCCTGCGTTTGTGAGTAGGGATCATGTTCCATTTATTTGTGTCCCCATGTCCCAGCACAGTTGCTGCTCAGTGACATGTGTTGAAATAACAAATGAAAGAACAAACTATTAAGATCTATTAAGGTCTATTAAAATCTCTTCCAACTCTCAAGTTCTTTGGCCATTTTATTACCTGAGAGTTCTCAACCCCCCATTCCTCTTTCTCTTTATTTCCCTTTCTGTGACTTTTTGGTGCTATCATTAAAAAAGAAATTGACACATCCAATAGAAACAACTAACATTTATTAGGCACTTTACTGTGTACCTGACACCTTGCTGAGTCTTGAGCTAAGCTGGGTTCAGATTCCATCTCTATCATAACTGTGTCCCTGAGCAACTTATTTCACCTCTGTATGCCTCAGTTTTCCCAACTGCTAAATGCAGCTAATGATATTAACTATCTCATAGAGTTGTCTTGTGTTTCTCATGAGATATATAAAGCACTTAGAATAGTGCCTAACACATTGTAAGAGGAAAACAAATATTGGTTAGTTTGTTTTAGAACTAAATAAATGGTGCTACATATATTAAATCTTTTTGTATTTTACATATATTAATTTTACATCTATTCTGCCTATTGTATTTTACATGTTTTACATATATTTCAAATATATTAAATTTGTACTTTGCATGTATTAAATCGGGTAATCCCCACAACAGCCTCGTTAAGTAGATAATATCAGTATCCCCACTTTAAAGATGAAGAAACTGAGGTTTAATGGGCCACGAACTAACCTGCCCAATGATCAGGTTCCGGTCCAGTGGGTCTGACTCTACGGCCTTTGCTCTTAACTCCTGCCTGCACTATTTCCCTCCCCAGAAAATGCTCAGGTTTATCTTCATTCTCTCTTCTCCCTCACCTCAACCAGGCCCCACACAGTGACCTGGCAGGAGTGTGGAATCACACAGCCACAGGATTTCTCCTGGTTGGAGGAGACCTTGGAAACAACCTACTCTAGCCTCTCACTTTATAAATGTGAAAGCCCAGAGATATTAAGTAGTGTACCCAGAGTTACACCGTGAGTTAGCAGCTCTGCCAGACACGTGATATTATCATGGTGGATATAAGTGATTTGGCAATCTCATCAATGACCAAAAATTCCCCAAGGGAAAGGCAAATGTCAGAGAAGAACACTTCATTTAAAATACACAACACTCACAGTTGATAACTCCATTATATACGTTGAGAAGTAAACTGTTCAGCATCCTATAGCTGAGAAGTGTCTAAGCTGGAAACCATTCATTCACCAAATATTTACTAAGGGCCTCATATGTGTCAGCTGAGGTTCTGGGGTTCAGTGGTGAGCAAATCAGATATAGTTTCTGTCATCATGGAAATTGCTCTTTAGAAAGAAAGATAAATATCATTTGAATTGTCCCAGAAATATATTTAAAGTTTCAATTGTAACTGCTACAAAATGCTCTGAGAGCTTCAAATATGAAGAATGATAGGGAGTGAGGGGTCAGGGAATGTTTCTCTGTGAAAATAACCCTTAAACTGAGATCTGAAGGGTAAATAGTACTGATCAGATGAACAGAGGAAGGAAGAATGTTCTGGACAGCATGTGCAAAGGCCCTGTGGTAGAAGGGAGTGTGGTGAGCACAATGGCCTGAAAGAAGGACAGTTGACTAGAGGGTGCAGATCAGAGATTCAGACTCCTAAAACCTTTTGGATAATACACTCGACCCCACCTGTAGGCACCACAGTGTAATAGGGCTAATCAATGTTCGTTGACATTTTTTCTTTTAGATGTCCCCATTGATGGGAAGTGGAATTGCTGGTCAAACTGGTCTTCGTGTTCTGGAGGACAGAAAACAAGACAAAGGCAGTGCAACAATCCACTTCCTCGAAATGGGGGCAGCGCCTGCTTGGGCCCTGCTTCGGAAACGCTTAGCTGTTAATTGGAAGGGAGAGCTTCTAGCAGATGGCACTTCTGTGGACTGCACACATTGAGAGCTCTAAGCCTTTTAGTTGCTCAGGCTAGCTCTCCCCCACACTAGATACTCACCCTGCTCACCCCACACCAGCCACAACCTGGAGCCAGCCCAAGGGTGGAGGGCAGTTCCATTCAGGATGTTTAAAATAAAGATGTTATTTGTAAAACACACACTGATTGGAGCAAATAGCGAGTTAAACGATAATTATAGGTTCTTCAGGGGTTTAAGCATTGTGGTAATCCTCACTTTGCTACCTCTGTAGTTTTATTTCACTCACATTTACTACCAGCCAGGAACTATGTGGAAGTTATTCACATTGAAGTCCTACTAGCGAGTTAAACGATAATTATAGGTTCTTCAGGGGCTTAAGCATCGTGGTAATCCTCACTTTGCTCACCTCTGTAGTTTTATTTCAGTCACATTTACTACCAGCTAGGAACTATGTGGAAGTTATTCACATTGAAATCCTATTGTCTAGCAGTGACTGGCACATGGTAGTTGTGCAATAATGGATCAATGAATAGATATTAAACTTCTCTTCCCTTGAAGAGTCTTGTTGAACGATTCCTGTGTGCCAACCACAGTGCTCTCTGTGTTAATTCATTCCACCCTCATGGCAACCGTATAAGGTGCATGCTCTATATTATCCCTATTAAACAGCTGGGAGATTGAGCCTTAGAATGGTTAAATGACTTGTCCAGGGTTACACAGTTAGGAAGTGGCAGAGCTGGGCTGCAAACCTGGGTGCTCGAGATCCAGGGTTTCAAACTCTTAATTATGATGCTCCCTTCCTGTCAATAAATGGGTGTTTGATTAACAAAGAATTTTTCATGAAATAAAATATAGGAGAAAGTGCTGTGTGTGTGTGTGTGTGTGTGTGTGTGCGCGTGCGTGTGCGTGTGTGTGTGTGTGTAAAAGAGAGAGATTGACAAATCTTCACCCATGCAACCTGAGGGGTGGATCCTGATTCCTCAGCTCCCTTTGACGTCATGCACAGGAAGGGAGTGGTTGTGTATGTCACAAGCAGGCCTTCTGGGGCAGAGCTGACTTGTGACATGAGTGGGTACCAAGAGAAGATCCTGTGCTGGAGATAAGAACCAAGGAAACTGATCACTGAATGAGAGACAATTAAATAAGAGAGACAAAAAAGAGGGGAACAGGTTGTGGTGGCTAGAAGAGGAAACATGTCAAGGAAAAGTTAAAGTTAATTACTGTGGGCAATGTGCAATGAAAACCTTTTCCTACCTCTGTACCTTCTACCTTGCTTGTGTGCAAATTCCATTTGGAGGATGGAGGTGCTTGCAGACAGTAAGAAGGCAGTTGATCTTCAGGTTATTAAAAACCAAAATATTCTTATTATTTAGATTGAGTCAAGTGATCCCTTAATCTTTATTGCTCTCTTTCATTCTATCATGTTAAAATATCTCTTAATATATTTTTGCTCTTAGGCACTTCCTGTCTAATTACAGAACTTCATGTGAATTTTGTTGAAATCACATTGATGGGGGAAAAAAACGATGAAAGGTGAATTGGTTCGTCCTATTTTCACCAGTTTGTTTTTGGCCACATCATTGGCTTTGAGTTTGCTACTGGGCTTAGTGCTGGGGCGTAAGACCTTACTTAATATGTCCATGACACCAAAGCATAGGATACCGCCACCCACCGATCTGGCCCACCCAGCTATCTGGAACTGAGCCAATAGAATAACCACTGGAAAGAGCTGCTCAGGGGTTGTTGCAGCAAGGGTGGTGATTCTGTCAGCCTTCCTGCATCCTGGTGTCCCTTGCAATTGAACTGACAGGTCTGGGCCTTTCTTGGCTTAATATTATTTCTTTGCTGTCTGCTGTTATTTCAACAGACTAATCCAATAATGTTTTATCTCTTTCATTATACCAAAGCTATATAATTTTCTTGAGTTATAATCTATCTTCTTTTATGATTCCCCAGAGATAGGGAAAAGCTGTCCCATCTTTTTTTGATGGGAGGCTCCCACGAAGCCGACACCAGGACGTTGAAGCCAGTGCTACCAAATTAAATTCTGAATCTCAATCACAGCCACCGCTTCTAATGGGAAATTCGAGTTGATTATGGAGATGACAGCCCAGGTTTACGTTTATTGCATTTAGCAGAAATTGTTTATCCTATTAAATACAGTCTTGAAGGAGAGACAATTGAATTGCGGAGCACCGGTGAATACCCGGGTGATGCCCAGGCGCTGCTAAACTGTGTAATAATTATATTCTTATTTGTGGGCTGAACTTCCCCTGGTGGCTCTTCTTGCAAACAAATGCATTTAGGAGGAGGTTGAAACATAATGTAAGAATTAAACAAAATAAATGCAAACCGTGCTTTTGGAAAAGCTTGGCAACAGTAGTTCGAACCAGTGTACCTGTGTAGGAGCTACAGTATCCGCGGGGTACAGTCTAGGCAGTGGTTTGGCAGTGGTCCTGGAAGCCTGAAAACACTACAAGATACCTGGATATGACAGTTTTGTATCCAAGAACGTGAACCTCTGAAATGCTATGAGCGCCACCGTGCTCTTGAAGTGGGAGTGCAGGGGTGGGAGTCCTGTGTCTCAGCTTCCACCCTGTGTGACCTTGGGCTAATAATGTAACTTCTGTGGGAGTAATAATTATTATAATAATAGCTGCCAATTATGGAGTGCTTCTCAATTTATGAGTCTTTTAGCCTACATTATCTCATTTAATCTTTATCTGAATTCGATGGGGTAGATATTAATACCATCATGAAGTGACACGTAGAGAAAGCTTCAAAGGGAAACCTGATCTTTATAATAAATAAGCTGACTGTGGACATCAAGGTGGAATTTAGAGGGAGGCCAGAAGAAAGAACACCTGCTGGCAGAGAATCCAGAGGAAAATGCCATCTTTGTTTTAAAGAAGAGGACTCTGGTCGGTTCCCAAGTACTTATGGAAAAAAAAAAAAAAAAAGCCCTGGGGAGAGAGCGTGCCTGGAGCAGAAAACTCTTGGGACACCAGCCAGGTCTTCCTGGGGACCCTCATAATTAGAATCTTGATAGAGAAATACTTTCTTTTACAGACTGCAGATGTGCTTAATAACAGTATGCCTATTCACTAATGTTTCCAGACACTATTATAATTTACTCATTTATCATCTCCTATTTCTTCTCAAATATAATGTCCATGAAGGCAGGAATAGTGTTGCCTGCTGCACTTATATGTCTCCAGTACAGTGCCTGGCACAATCAGACAATGATAAATAATTGTTGCATGAATTAATGAACTAATGAAAAGAGACGTGAGTGGGGCCAAGGCCAGACCCTTCCCAGGCCAGTGAAAAACTTCAGTGAATTGGTGGCACATGATGGTGGCATCATGAAGTTTGGGGTACAGAAGCCTGTGATAAGAGGAACCACCACAGCAGTGGCCAGGGTAGGCACCTTCAGCCAGCTTCATGGGCAGCATGGCAACAAAGAGTCTAATAAAATTGGCAGAAAAATAGCTGATGTCAGATAAGGACTAATAGAACTTGATTAGAGGTGTTGGTGACACCCACTGGGGACCACCAGATATCTTCCGGGAAACTTTATAGAAGGGAGCAGACAAGTCTGCAATTGTGTGTCAGGGGTAAACCTGAGAAGCACATTTACGGGCTGATGAAGAAACCAAGGTTCAACAGGGCTAAAAGGCCTGCCCAGTATATGGCAGAGGCAGGAAACGAATAAATAACTTTAAAAAAATCATCATCCGAACATGTTGCCTCCACCTCATTTTCTCATCATAGACTTATTGTAAACTTGAATGCTCACCTAAAACCTAACAGCGACATACTGGAATGGTACACTTTAAGTCTTTGAGATTCCGTTACTGTTGTCAGAGTTTTCTGCATGGCATGTTCCTCTTTGAGTTGTCTTTCTTAAATATATGGCCAGATTCTCATACTGAGGTACACAGGAACTCAGAGGTGGGTATACTGAGGTAGCTGGGGGACAGCGCAACCTCTAAGAACTGGAAACACAGATGAAGAGGCCAGAGCAGCAAAGTACTTCTAAGGGCATGCTCTGGTGCCAGACTATCTGCATTTGTGACATGGCCTGGCTCTCTGTGTCTTACTAACTTTGTGGTCTTATGGAGGTTACATACCCATCTGTGCTTTTGTTTCCTCATCTGTAAGATGGTGGTGGTGACAGCAGCAACCTCCTGGGGTTCTGTGAGCATCATGTGAAATTCGAAGAGCGCCTGGGACAAAGTCAGCGTTTCATAGTTAGCTATACTGTGGACGTCATTGTTTCTCAAACCACCAACAAGAACTACGGTTTGTCTTTTTAAAGTCATTGCAAATTGTTTTAAAGACATTTCACTGTGAAACCTACTACGACACATGAGAACAAGAAAGACATAAAATAGCTTAGCACCTAAATGTCTTAATAAAGGACATGAACTGCTTTCATATCTCAAGCTCTAGGTTATTAAGGGAAAATATAACAGCATAATAACTAATATTTGCAGAGGGCATTACTAGTTACAAAGAACTTCCACATGCCTAATCCAGCTTAATCCTCTCAATGCCTGCAAGAGGAAGGATTTATTATCTGCCTCTGACAGGCGATGAGACAGAGCCTCGGAGAGACTAAGCGATTTGCCCAAGACCACACAGCTTGAAAGGAGAAGAACTGCCTCCGTCCAACGGCTGCCGCTGCACTGCTCCCCAACGTCTCACTGTAACAGAAGCAGATCCAGCTTCAGAGCCTGCCTGCCTGCCAGCCCACTTGCATAGAAGAGACAGAGAAAGGGCCCTGGGATGGCATCTGGTAACAGAGAAGCAGAGACATTTGAAGGCCTTGGGGGCAGATGGAGGGAGGTATAAGACCCGATGCCACCACTTCCTAGCTGAGCGACCTTGACAAGTCATTTATCCTCTCTGCGCCTCAGTTTCCTCATCAGAAAATGGAGCCAATACTCCTGATGACACAAGTGTAAGGA